TAGGCACACCATACGGAGCTGCAGAATGTGTTTGAAATAATAAAAGTATCCATCCCATCATCAGTGGAAAAATGTTCTATTTTGGTAATTCAAACAAAAATATCTAAATAAAAATATTCTAAATGTATTATATATATTTTTAACATTAATTAATACTCTAAAAACAAATGGTTCACTATACTAATAAATGTATTGTACAAAAGACAAGCCAGCTCATGATCTGAGTGGACCTGTTTCACCTTCCCCGTTCTGAGGGTGGACTTTCCTCTGATTTAATCTTTTCTAGACATTCCTGACAAGCTCTGCCTTGATTTCTTCACGTGATTTAGGATGGTTACGCAGTCAACCACTGTGGGATGGTCTGTGGTCACTGAAAGACAGTAGTGGGCTATGTGTGAAGTGACCACTCTGCTCTCTGTGTCTTTGTCTATCCAGTTATATCTGATATCCGTATCTACCATCTGTCTATTGATCCATCGATCTACCTCTATAACGATGGTTTCTTTGCCATTTTCTTAAGTATAGACAATACTTAAGCAAACCCTGTTTTCTTGAGTGTAGAAAGAACATTGAAGCATGTCCTTGCCCCTTGATTTCTGTTTATGTGTTGAAAAATTAGGTAAGCAGTAAAAAGAAATTCTTGTGTCCTCTTCCCTGCAGAGATAGAGAATGTCATCCGATGGCATCGTACATGCTGGTACTTCCTCATTGCTTAGGCGCAGTACTCAATGCCTGAAAGGAGGCGTGAAGTAGGGAAGGTTTATTCTGGCTACTGGTTTGCAGAGATGTCCACCCCTATTCAGCTGGCTCCAAGGCGGACAGCCTGGTGGAGCGGCATGGTGGAGGCACATGGCACAGCAGGCAGGAGGCAGTGCGATTTCCTTTTCCTTTCCATTTGATTCCATTCAGGCTCCAAGCCTGTTGGTTGGTGTCACCCATACCCAGGGTGGGTCACCCTTCTTCACTAAGTCTGTTATCCACACTCAAGACCAACCGGTGGACGGACTAACAGTATCATATACCCATGGTCCATTCGCTCCCAGAGTCACACCTGTAGAGCATGAGCTGTGGGCGGGGGCATCTAAGCATCACAGCAAAGTACATTCCCCTATTGTTACTCAAGGTTCTATCTCCTGATGGTCTTCTTGTCTCAGTGCATCTCTCTGCAATTCACCATGCAATCCCATGACTTTTAGAGCATTTCAGATGTCCTCAGTGCTGTTTTGCAAAAATTGAAGAGGAGTCTTTTAAATTTTACTTTAGTTTTGAAAGGTTGTCCATGACTGGAAAGAAAGATCGTTAGAATTTTCAGGAAAAGTTTTTTTCCCTACCTCTGTTTATGTGACCTCCCCTCCTTTCTCATTTTATATCCCTCTCCTTATTCTATTTTTTAATGTAAAATATTTTAAACTTTATTTTAAAGAGAAAATGACAATAAAAGAGTTTGAAAACTGATTAGTAGGAGAGTTTCAATAGTTCATGCCTTGTGTATTGTCTTTGTAGTAGTTATTCAGAGTATAAAATATAGGTGTGATATGTTGTCCAAACAATGTTAGCGCTAAACTTTCTTTTCAATGAACTATGAAAAACTAACTTTGTTCTATGTTCACTATTTCATGTGTAAGAATAAGGGCAAACTTTTATCTGTCCTTATTCTTAATTCTTTTTCTCTGCTGCTCCTCCTCTGCTCTTTGACCACCTCAGGACTCATGCTGCACACTGTTATCAGCACTCAGCACCTGCTTGGACCTCCCTGGAGCCAGTGGGTGGGCCATAATCCTCCTTAATTCACCAAGGCATTGCCAGAAATCTATGCGTTGCATTTTCTTCCTGAAATTATTGAAGAAGACCAAAGAACTCAATGGCGAGGATGCGGGAACAGCCATTAAAATGACAGCTTCCTGCAGGACAAGTCAGAAATCTTCACTGTTACCTTTTCATGATGACCTTAGGTAACCCAAAATGCTGAGGCTGTTTCTAGATTCGAGAGGTTGTGAACAGTTAATACCTGCTGGAACTAAACCAGAAATGCAGAATTTACTTTGGCAGGGTTAGGGTTAGGGTTAACAATCCTGATAGATTGTTAGTAGTGCAGAGGAATAGGGATTAAGAGAGGCAATCTCTTGCTGAGGGGAGGAGGGACAATTTAATGTGACTATAAAGTCGATGCCATATGGATCTGATTCTGCCTGAAACAGGAACTGATCTGAGGAACAGCTTGCATCAGACCTATGTGGTGTGGAGCTGGAGGCTTTGGCAGAAGAGAAAATCCCAGGAGTTAAGCATTCATTTAGCAATCCTTCTAGTTAAAAATAATAGGCCTGAGTTCAGTTTTTTTCACTTGTAGAGATGATAATAGTATTTGCTAAATAAGGTTCTTTGCAAGATGGAAATGAGACAACATGTATAAAAGGCTTAGCATGGTGCTTGGTGTATCATCAGTGGTAACTGTTATATATTTTTTTTAAATGAAAGTTACAGCACTTGTCATATTACAGCTCCTTCTAAAAGTGAAAGTGAAAACAGCTCCGTCTGAGTCCCAATTCAGTTTGCCAGTTCTGTGTGCGTCTCCCTATTTCCTCTAGAAAGTCAGCTTTTGTACATGAGTGTTGTGGGCATGTGTGTGTTTCCTGCTGCCTGCACCCTTACTTCACACAAAGGCAGAGACAGGGAGCTGTTGATAAGTAAAAGGTGGCTTGTGGATATTCTCAAGCTTGAGGGGGAATGAGGTGCTCAAGTGTCTGTACATGTGCTTCCTTTAGGGCCAAGAACCCAAAAGAGCAGATACAGGGCCTTCAGTCATATATGAGTTCAGGAAATATGGCTCCTGGTAGGATGATGGGACCATTTCTGGGCATATGTGTGGGTTCAGAAGAATCACTCTCTTGGGAATTGCTTTTATAGTGCTTGGGATGAAGAGATTCAAATTCCATAGAATATTCCAGGTTGTATTTGGCTTATGGGTTTTGGGAACTCAATATTATGGGCTTCAGCTTGAATTTAATGTAATCTTCATAGGAAAAGAAAAAAAAAACTAAATATGAGGCACGCTCCAAATTAGATGCAGTATATAGCAGTATTTTACTGAAATGGCAATCACATATTTTGGCAACTGTCTTTTGCCCCAGGTCAAAGCCTGCGGTAACCATCAATAATTTGTCTTGCTGTTTACAGCTTTACCTCTTCTTGAACCTCTTCTTCCTAAAGCTGTCTTAGCCAGACTCTTTTTTTTTTTTTTTTTTTTTTGTGGCTGGCTCAGCCTGTCCTAGTGGCGGAGCTGGCGCAGCATGTGGTGCTGGAGACTGAACCAAGGTCCCTGCGTGGTGCTTTAGAGCGATCTTGCCATTGAGCTATCTTGCCGGTACCAGTCTCCTTGTTGTTTGCTCTGTTCTCTGAATCTGTTGTGGACAGTCCTATATACTTAGTATTTAGAGGTAGCAAGTAGATGTTTGCCTCTAGGAAAGGTATATGTGCGTGTTTGTTCAGAGCTTTCCCATCTGTAAGGCAGGTATCCTTTAAAGACTGATGCTTGATGTAGCAGAATGTGTTTGTTAAAAGTTTTACTCTAAGGTAGCAATAGTGTGGTGAGGAAATTGTGTGAGGTGTACAATCACGGGGAGGATTTCTAGAGGCGTTTGGTCTCTGTATTTTGCTGCCCACCATACATAAGAAAAGTAAATTTTATCTTCCAAATGCTCCTCAGCAGTGATATTTATCTATAAAGTATGTGTGACCATTTAAAGAAAGAGAATAAATACTGTTAGATATAAATATTTATACATGCAAATTTATGTAAAATTTACTCTGTCTACAACTCAGTGTTCTATAAATTTTTTTGTGTATTTTATTTTTATTCTTTTGATACAGCGTCTTGCTACACAGCTTGGACTCGTAGTGCTCTTCCTGTCTCAGCGTCCCCAGCACTGGGATTATAGGCATGTAGCACCATGCCTAGTTTGGGGCTAGTATGGCATGTGGTACCAGAGATCAAATACAGAAACTTGTGCTTGCTAGGGGTGTACTTATGCAGCCGAGCTATCTCCCTAGCCTTATAATTTTTTTTTTTTGATTGACTAAACAGTGAAAATTTGCAATCAAGACTAGCAGCTAGAAGCAGGTTGTATTAGAACACAGAAGAAACACAAGAAGGAGAAAAGAGTATGTTTGGAACAGTGAGGAGGAGCAGCAAGAGAGGTGTTTGGGGGAGATTAAGACGTGGCAGAGTGGCTCAGGGCTGTGCTTCTTAAACTTCTAACACTTTTCTTGAATTACAGTGTGTTAAGAACCTGCATTTCTTGTATCAGAATGAATGACTAGAAAATTCTTACTTCGTTTATTTGCTCACATCTCATCATGGATCAGTAAACCAAACCAAAGCAAAACCCAAACAGCAACACACCACACCACACCAATCACATCACACCACCCCCCCACTCCCCCATGCCCCCATACAAAGACAAATAAACAAGTAAACAAACAGAACACCAACTGCCATTAGGTGGCAGAACATACTGAGAATACTTCTTTAGGATTTAAGAAATGGTTGGTGATGAAGCTGGAGGCCTGTTGGCACGGAATGGTGAAGATTCTGAGAATCATTATAACAATGTAGAGTTTTGGGCCCTAAAAGTTCGGACAAGTCTGTCAGGGTTACTTTCTATTATCTTCCTGACTTTTCACAGTATGGTAATTTGTTTAATATTTTGTGCTAAAAACATTAGCTAAAATGAATATTGTAAATATATGTTGACTCGGTGGTTACTGGTCAGTGTTACAGAAGTTGTTCAATGTTTTATTTTGAAATTAAAGAACCTCACTTTGGGACCCTTGAGCTGGGCAAGAGCACATTTCCTGTTGAGGTCGTTCCCTCCATTCTTGCTTATCTTGCGTCTGGCACTGTTCAGGCTGGTTGTTTCTCACAGCAGATTTCTAAGGAGACCAGAACTGATCTGTGAGCCCTCCTGTTTTTGCTGTCCTGTCGTCCCATCTTCCCTTTTCAGTCAGCAGGTTTCAAGATGCTGCAAGTACAGAGGACCACCCTGGGTGGGCTGAGGCCCAGCCTCTCCAGAGGCCTCCACCACAAAGCTGTGATGGCCCTCAGGCGAGAAGACGTCAACGCTTGGGAGAGAAGGGCGCCGCTGGCCCCCAAGCACATCAAGGGGATCACCAACCTGGGGTACAAGGTCTTGATCCAGCCTTCTAACCGGCGGGCCATTCATGATAAGGTGATTATTTTCAACTTTTTAAAATTGGCGCAAATAAAATGAACTTGCAAATGAAAATTAAGAAGTATATTCAATTCCTTGAGTTTGCTTGAGTATTATTTTTACCTCATTCTATGCTTTCACCAGATAAGAGGTAAAGGTTCTGGTTTTGGAAATTAATACCTTTCAGACATTCTTTCCTTCTTGTGCAGCTTTAGCTCTGCGACTAGGAAAATGAAGATCAATTAAGGTCAATTATATATAATCCAAAACTTACCAATAACATTCAGTAATTTTAAAAAAGATACCATTCTTGCATCCAAAGAATGCTTCTTTGTGTAGAGTTTATTCACAGGAAGGTATATGGCCAGCTACTTCGAGAATCCTTGAACTTTCTGTGTAGTTTTCACAATAGTTTTGTGTTTTATGATGTAGGTTAGACTTTTATTCTTATTTCACAAATATATATATATATATATATATATATAAGCTTCTGTGAATCATTTGAAAGTAATTTATTATCTTTTTCACACTTTATTTTTTTCTTTCTTTCTTTTCTTTTTTTGTATTTTAGGGAAGGGTGTACAGGGTGTTCAGGATCTCACTACTAGATCAGACTCTTAGTGATCTGTCTTTTTACAGCCTCCCCTAAGAGCTGGTATTACAGGTGTGAGCCACCACATCTGGTCTCAATTGCTGTCTCAGTGTGCCCCAGGGGTGGGGTCAGCATGGCAGGCCCGGGGATTGCATCCCCAGCCCCTTTGCCTGTATGCAGGTGCTTTAATTCGCTGAGCTATTTGGCCCTTTACTTTTTTTTTTTTTTTTAATCTTTTATTTATTTATTTGGTACAGAGTAGTTCGGACTTGTAGTGATTCTCCTGTCTCAGTGTCCCCAGAGCTAGGATTACAGGCATGTGCCACCACACCTGGTCTCAGTGGCAGAATCACTGTGCCCTGGGGAGGATGGGGAAGGGGCCACCATGGTATGTGGTGTGGGAATCAAACCCCAGCACCTGTGCTTGCCTAAGCAGGCGCCTAGTCTGCTGAGCTATTTATTTCTCCGAACCTTTTCTTTGGCTCTTTTGGGTGTCATTATGGGAAAATGGATTGTTTCCATTTAACCCATTGAACATTACTTTTAAATGCCCTAATTATCTCAAATTCATCTAATAAGAGTCCCCTTTAAGAGAAGACTCCTGTAGTCTTTGGAAATTAACTCATTTGTCTTTGAGCTTTCCTGTTACCTGGAATAATGCATTAGCCTCACCTACTTGTACTTTTCATGCCTCACAACTGAAATTATTTCACCAAAAAACTTTGATTTCTTTTAATACATAGAAACCAAGATCTTGTGTCTGGTTTTAACTGTGCTGATTTGTTACTGAGGTATTTTTGGTGCTTTCAGGATATAAAGCTTAGCAACAAGTAGAAGCAGAAAGCCATGTGCAGTGGGAAACACCTCAGATCCCAGCTACCAGGGAGGTGGAAGTTAGAAGGCTGCAACTTGTCGCCCAGCCGGGCAACTTAACAAGACATTGATTGATAGGTAGGTAGGTAGGTAGACAGAGCAGCAGATGATCGGGGGTGCTAGTGCTGTAGCTACAGGGTAAAGTGCCTGCCTAGTATGTATGAGGCCCTCAGTTCAATCCATTGTACCATAAAAACAAAACAAACAAATGTACAAATGATCCTGTCAAGCAAACAAGCAGCAAATGGATGCAAATACACACATTCTTGTATGTTATTTAATTATTAATATAATTTCCAATTAAAATTCAAAATTGTGAGGTTTTCGTACCTTCAAATTTTATATTTGCTTCTGTCTTATCCAGTAGTAAAAAACATACTCCCTCACCTCATGAGAATCATTAGTATTACTACTATTAACAGTAAGCTCATTGTATGAAGTTTGCTGTTTCTTTGAGGTATTTATTTTCCCTTAGGATGTATTGAATCTCAAAAAGAAAATTAAAAAGGTTGTGTTTACAAGTTTTTTTTTTCCTGTATGGTAAATATTATCAATCTGATATCCATATAAATTCATATTAACTATTTCTATTAGATTTTAAATATTTTTTAAATATCTTGTTTAATTTATTTTTAAATCAGTATGACATTTACAGTTTTCTAGCTTTAGTCCCGCCTTCATTCAGTTCTCTTACACCCCACTCACACTGACCTCAAACTTTTCTGCAGCCTGCAGCTTGCGATCTATCATTCTTGCTTCTTTTTACAAAGATAAGAACCTGTCTGCATTTGTACTGTAGCAGAGGATGCCTCTCGCCCCCCAGCCAGTATACTCAGTTTCTTAGTTGCCTTGGTATTTGTTCCTGCTTAGATCCTGTTGCTCTTGTCTCTTAGAAACAGCGGGTCACTGCGATGTACAGCAGTCACTAGGATGTGTACAGTGGGAACCAGTCCCCAGCTGACCAGCCAGTCTGCCTCTAATGCATATTGTAGTAACCAGGTCCCAACTGCGAAGCCCTTCTACCTCTGTTCTTCCTGCTTGCTTATCCCATACAAACTCTGGACCACCAGAGATTGGAACCTGATATTTTGGGAATGACTCTGACCAGTGTCCATTGATATAAATATATCTGCCTCCAAATCCTGGGTGTGGTTTCAGTAATTCTGTTTGTCATAACCATATGTGTTTGTATGCTTATATCTATTTTGTTTTTATGCAGAAAATTGCATACTACTTGTAGTCTCGTGCACCTTACTTTTAGAAAATGAACTACGTATCTTGGACATCATACTATTTCCATTTAAAATGATTTGTCTCATCCTAGTTATGACTGTGGGACTGCACTGCAAAGATTTACCATGATTTATTAACTAATTCCCATATTTGGACAAATGGACTGTTAGAAACTATTTATTCATGTACTATCTCTCTTATCTATCTAAACATTGAAGTCTATTCCTGACTAAACTTATCTTCATTTTATTTAAATGTTAGCATAAATACTTTTTAAATACTTTTTGGCCTGTGCCAGCCTTTATTTAAAGATCTGATATGTCTATAAATTGCTTGCTTGTCCTATCTAGGGCAGCTCCATTAAATGTGTAAGCGTGCAGCTTCCCAGGGACAAAATGAGGAAAATGATCTTACCTACCTCATGGACAAATCATGAAAGTTTTATGAGCATTAACTGAGATAATTCACACACAGAGCTTAGCAAACTACATGATAATTTATTATTATTACCTATTGTCCAATTAAACTCAAATTAGCCTTGATGACATCAGTCTGCCTCTCCAAATTGATTAATCCAAAAGCCCTACGCATCTTTCTGCTTTGACGTTTGTGTGTATGCCTTCAGTGCCTCATGCTGACGTTACCACCTGTATTTTGTCTTTTTTTTTTTTTTAAATGTTACCTACCTTTTAAATTGCCCTGTACTTCCATAGTTCTGTAAGCATTTCATCTGAATGATTATCAGGTGGAATCTCGCAATTCATTAAATTAACATCTCACAGTTTGTTAATCTAATGTGTCATCACTTAGATCTTGATGGTCATAATGTTCTTTTGAATCTAGCCTTACTTACCGTGCTGCTGATTCTTTAGATCTTAGTGCATGAGCTCCTTCGCAGGAGTGATCATGTCTATCTGTCTCTCTGTCTGTCTGTCTGCCTGTCTGTCTGTCTTTGTGTCTTATCATCTCAACTCAGGCTCAATCCACTACTCATTAAAACAGAAATAAATGCTAACTGAACGAAAATGCAAAGCAATGCTGGAGAAATACCCTACCTTTTGAAAATACAGGTGAGTAACAAGTTACTCCCTGACATTTGATGTTTGATTTTATTGATGCAAACTTTACAACTCAGAAGTATGTTTAAACCTTAGGTCCTCATGGTTGTGATCAAACTGTATTCTTAAATAGGAATGTGCACTGAAGTTTGACTTCACCAGACTTATCTTTGGCCAGCGAGTATAGATGTTAGAAGTAGCTGCTGTGTTATTTGTCTCAAACCACACAAGTGCTATTTCTGTAGAAGTTTGTACCTTTATTTGATACACATGTAATTAGAGAAAATGTGAGTGCCACAAGCCAGGAGAATAACTGGTAACCAAAATTGCATTCCCAGGAGTATGTCAAAGCTGGTGGCATCCTCCAGGAGGACATATCTGAAGCTTGTCTAATTCTGGGAGTTAAAAGGCCTCCAGAGGAAAAATTAATGTCCAAGAAGACCTATGCATTCTTCTCGCACACAATCAAAGCGCAGGAGGCCAACATGCAGCTGCTGGATGAGGTTCTGAGACAGGTAACTGCAGAGCACCATTTGGGAACATCAGAGAAGGAAATTAATTGTCTTCCTCCAGAGTGAAGTGCTCGTTTTCTTTTCCTGTCTAGCAAATGTATCGTGCTGTTCGCCTCAGGAGGAGAGGTGATACCTAAAGTAGTGTTGAATAGCTCTGCCGTGCTCCAGGGCTCCTCTGCTCTGTAGATTTGGAGTTTGTAATACGAAGGACCAGATACTTTCATTTCTTTTCTGTGCCAAAATGGAAGACATTACAAAAGCTTTTTCATCAATTAGGGTTCATAAGGCCAACTGGACAGATGCTAGCAAATAGAATTTGAAAGCCTAGAAGCTCTTATAGGTCAGGCTTCTTCGCATGGACTTTTCAGATGGGGATCAGGAGTGAAATGACTTGACACGGTGAGCACGGCTCTGGGGCACCAGCTCTAGGATGCGGGTGCTTCTTACATTTCCTAGTATTTACAAGGGGGGGGGGAATATATATATATATATATATATATATATATATATATGATGTAAATACCATGGAAAGACTAGCAGCTCCTTAAAATACAGAATATTTAGCAAATGTTTGAAGAAAATAGTGACCCTTGTGTTCATAGCACCTATGGGACAAGATAGAGGACAAATAAATAAAGCATATGTCACTTGGTAATCTAAGCATGGAGATGAATGTAATACTGAAGATGAAAAGGAAGGTGGGCACTATGGAAAGTGACAATGCCAATTTAGACAGGGCAGTTGGGAAGAGCCTCATGGAGAAGGTAGTATCTGTGGAGGAATTTGAAGGAGGTAAGGAACCAAGCGCGCCCACCTGGGAAGAGTCTTCCAAGCAGAGAGAGGAGTGATGCAAAGACCTGAGGAGGTTCTTCGTGAGTGATGGGAAGAGCTGCTCATGAGCTAAAGCACCTACTCTGCCTGCTTGTGTATCAGTAATTTAAAGTGGGAGGTGAGCAAAGCTGATGAGATCATTAGTCGAGGGTAGTTTTGACTCAACCACCCAGATGTGGCAGGTCTGACCTGTGGATGGGCCTGAGTACATCTCAGAAATGAATCCTAAAAGGTTCATTAATGAAGTGCAGGTGGAATATGGGAGGAGGCGTGGAGTGGGTCAGGACAGCTGTGTAACCAGAAGGGGCTGCCGTGATTCGAGATAGTGCTGCTCTTAGGAGAGCAGGTGTGGATGGGACATGAGAGCCGAGGCCTGGTTATGCCGGTAGACACTTCAAGGGGGAAGCTGAGTGGGCTGGGGACAGCGGACCGCAGCTCAGGCAGCAGCTGATACACACTGTGTAGTTGTGGAGGACGAGATGATATCCATGGTCTTGAGATTGGGCAAGTTCAGGGAGTGAGTGAAGTGATATTTTTCTGAGCTCTGGGCCCTGGGGGAAGGATGTCAGAGTGTTGGAAATAGACTGGGAGCCCAAAATGGAGGAGAGGAGAGCTCACAGACCGAGGAAGGTGGGAAGGAGGTATTTTATATAAGAGCACATACTGGAAATAGATTGAAGTTAGTGTGCACTATTTCTAAAGAACAGATTCAAAAGTAATCAATAGGGGCTGGGGAAATGGCTCAGTAGAATAAGCACTTCTCTGGCAAGTGCAAGGGCCTGAGTTCCGCCAAAAAAAAAAAAAAAAAAAAAAGCAATCGATAAAATGCATTTCAGAAGACTATTTCACCTTAAGAAAATAAACTTTTTGGAAAGCACTTTAATATTTTGGAGACTGTTTTTGTCATATGAACTTTTGTTCATCACAGAAAATGAATCAAAGCAGACCCAGCAGGACTACTTTCTGGCTGAATTTTGCAACTAATTACTCGAAGTGAGATGTATGTTAAGTGTTCTTAAATTCACATGATTGTTAAAGATTGTATTTATTTTACAGTCCTAGGGATGAAACCCAAGGTCTTGTGGATACTAGCAAAAGTTCTCTGTTCTGTTGCTAAATGATACCCGCAGACCTTAAGTTGTATGGTCTTTGAGGAAAAAAATGGCTGATTAAACATTCTATAATTACAGTGTACCAATGTCCTGCAAAAGGGTGGATGAAGAAAGGGAAGAAAGAAGAGTGGGGGAAGGAGGAGAGAAGAGAGACCGAGAGAGAGAGATGGAGATAGAGAGATGGAGTGAGAGACAGAGATAGACACGCACATGTGCATGTACACACATGCGTGCACATACACACACACACACACACACACACACACACAAAGAGACGGAGCTCTGAGTGTGAGCTTGAAGCACTCCTACGGGTTTTCAGCTAGAAGGGCCCTGGGGTCTCTAGCATGGCTGCAGCACTAGGAAGAGACTCAATGATGGACAGAGAGAAGTGTTCAAAAGGAATGGCCTTGGGGGCCATGGATAAAAGCTGTGGCTTGCTCCAGGAATTTGTCTCAGGGGAATCTGTTTTTTTGAGGCAGGAAGGAATAATGGAAGATAAGTGGGGTTAGGAGGGTTGGGGAGATATTTTGGAAGATAGGTGTACTGCCTACCACCCAGGGGTGTCTAGAAGCCACAGGGCCCATTTCCACCTCTAATTACAAACCAATGATTGGCTGATGACCTGGCATTTTCTAAGTACTTCTTCCTGCATCCGATGGTAACTTGGGTGATAAAGTTAAGATATAGTCTTAAGATAAAAAGGTGCAAAATACTTACTTGTTCACATATATACTTTATACTTTGCAGTTGAACTTATAAGCCTGGTTTAGAATTTTGTTATCTTTTCTTCAGGAAATCCGACTTATTGATTATGAGAAAATGGTGGATCATAGAGGATCACGGGTAGTGGCATTTGGACAGTGGGCAGGTGTGGCAGGTAGGTATGTCAGGTATTTTATATCACTTACTTTCTAAATTTGATATGTGTTTTCTCTGACTTGAGGATGAGAGTATTTATTTCCACTGATAAAATAAAAATAAGTATATGCTGGGTCAGGGATATATCTCAGCAGCATAAGTGCCTGCCTGGCAAGCACAAAGTCATGAGTTCAATCCCCACTACCAAAAAAAAAAGGAGAACCTGAGAGATAGCTCAGTGAACTAAGCGCCTGCCTAGGCAAATGCAGGGATGCAGGTTCAAGCCCTGGCACCATGTACCATGCTGGCCCCGCCCCAAGGCATGCTGAGTTGGCCACAGAGACCAGGCATGGTGGCTCATGCCTGTAATCCCAGAGCTCGGGAGGCTGAAAACAGGAGGATCACAGGAGTCTGAGCTGCATAGTAAAACCCTATACCAAATACATTTTTTAAAAAATGTGCTGAAGACTGGTACATATTAGATGAGCAGAGGAAGGAAATCATTAGAATATTTTATTTATTTATTTAATGTGTGTGTGTGTGTGTGGCCAGCTCAGCCCACCAAGGGGCGGGGCTGGCTGGCATGTGGTGCTGGGGGATTGAACCACGGTCCCTGTGCTTTGCTTAGCTTAGCTTGTTCTAAGTAGGTGCTTTAGACCACTGAGCCATCTCACCAGCCCTAGAATATTTTATTAAAGAGACCAAAATATGGGGGCCAGTGAGATGGCTCAGTAGGATAAGCGCTTGACTGGCAAACTCAGGGATCTGAGTTCAATCCCCGGTTCTGCGAAAGAGAGAGAGAGAGAGAGAGAGAGAGAGAGAGAGAGAGAGAGAGCAAAATAAAAAGAAAGCAGGAAGAGAGAAAGGTAACATTCAGAAACAGGCTTTTACTTATTTTGTTTGTTTTTTGCAGTACTAGGGATTGAACTCAGGACCTTGTGCTTGCCAAGCAGTGTCAGTCAGGAAAAATACTCTCTGATCCACTTTTGCCCCTGTGAGGACTTTGAAACTTTCTTAGTTGAGGAATGCTAAAAGTACATTTCGGGTCTGTATCAGTGTAGACTTCTAGAAGGTCTAGTTAGGAAAGTTATGGCTCGGCAGTGTTCGGCCTTGCTACATAAAAGTGAAAGAGTCCTCACTATGATTTGTGGGACTTTGATTTTTGCTTTGACTAGTCTGCCTTTGCCTCTTTGAGGTATATTTTTATTAAATTATGTATTTATATTATTTAGTTGTGCAAAAATTAGCATTAGTTGAAATCATTGTATAAATCATTTTACAAATCACATTAAAGACCGCTCAAGAAATATTCAGACATTAGAAAAATTTAAGGTTCTATATAGTTTTAGAGATAAATACTTTCAGAAAGACCTTAAATTTTAACCTCTTACTATATATGCCATGTAACCACTTGCTTCTGAAGTATTAAAATAATCTTGAAACTGACAAAATTCTTTTTACTTAAAATGAATTCATTATGTCTCAGTCAGCTTTTCTGATCCTGGGACACAATGCCCGACACCCACAGCCTAAAGTAAGACAGGTTGAATTTGGCTCCTGAGTCAGGATGTACAGCCCACAGTTGGCTGGCCCCAGGCAGAGCGCGATGGAAGGTTCAGGTGGAGAACAGCCGCCTGCCTCCTGGCAGCCTGGAAGCAGAGACAGGACAGAGGGGAAGCTGGGGACAAGAATAGACTCAGAGGTATCGGCCTCTGTGCCAGGCAGGCCCCAGTGCCCAACAGCACGTGAACTACTGAATTCCCCACAGGGGAATCCACTGTAGAGTGTAGTGCTACCACGGTTCCCTCAATGGCCAAGCACATAAGACTTCGGAGGGACATTTCAGGGCTAAGCCATAGTATGTCTTATTTTCCCGTTCTAGCCCTTGCTTCATTCTCTTGTCCACTCAACACACGTCATTTCTGTCACAGAAATAGAAAATTAAGATTTCTTAGTATGGAATAGGGAAGGAAGGCCTCTGTTGGTGATTCTTTACAAGGTGAATCAGATGGGAGTTTTTTTCCCGAAAGAATAAGTACATCGGAAATAAGTTTATTCCGTGCAATCTGGTTAACATTTGTATCAGTGCTTCACTTTCTTATTGTTGCTTAAGGGTGTTTCTGCAAAACAAAAAAAGGAAAAAAAAAAAAAAGAAAAGAAAAAAGAAACTATTTAGGGCTAGGGAGATAGCTCAGTAGAATAAGCACTTGCCTGGCAAGTGCAAGGTCCTGAGTTCAATCCCTAGTACCTCAAAAAAAAAAAGTATTCCATCTTATGTTTATACCACAGTTTATCCATTTCTCCCTTGCTGTGCTTTTATGTTGTTTTCAGACTATTTTGAATAAAACTGCTATAAAAATTCTTTACATAAAATATTGCATTTCTCTTGACAAATGACTATGAGTAGAATTTATTTCATACATTGATACTTACTTTTTAAATTTCATCTTGAAGTAGTTTTTGTATTTGTATAGTTCAAGGATTTGTTCACTTTATACAGGTTCTCAAATTCATTGTCCTGTTCTTCATATTCCTTTATAATTACCAAACCCTGTACTTTAGGATATTTAACGATGTGTGTGTGTGTGTGTGTGTGTGTGTATGTGTAATTTATTTAGGAGTTAACTTTAGAAAAATGATAAAAGAAAATATGTTAGGAATGTGTGTGCGTGTGTGTGTGTCAAGGAGTGTGGCATGGAAGATTTTATTCCAAAGAAAAGGGGAAGATTATATGCTGAACTCTCTGCTACAAGTATGCCAAATATTTTGGTCTATGGAAGATGTCCTAATTAAGGCTTAGTACAGATAATTTGCTAGGTCTTGAAATCAAAGGAAAAACACCTGTGCTAAAGATAAATACTTGGGATTATACACATACAAAGAGTGCTTGAAACTTAGGTCTGTACAATATTACCCCAGAAGAAAAATATAGATATGGAGTAGAGCCCAGGCTAGACCCCAGAAGAATAATATGAAAGGAAAGGAATGACATAGAAAGATATAAGAAAGGTAAGAGAGACTCTTTCAAGTCAGGGATGTCAAGGGATAGGAATACTTCGTTAAGCAGGGCATCCGTATTTCCAGTCACTTCTAGTAAGCTGAGATCTGCAAAGTCCAATAAATTTAATTGTTTATGCCATTAAATAGATGGAGCAGGCTCTGGGGTCACTGGTAACTTTGTTTTTGTTTGTTGGTGTGTTTTTGGTTTGGGAATGATGGAAACATCTCTAAATATTAATAAAAATAAACCAATAGAGAAAGAAACAGAGGAGAGATCCAAGTGTGAGCTCCCTTGGAGAGGCGCAAGGGAGGGGCTCTACAGCCAAGGTGAAGAAATTGACCTTAGGCAGAAGATGGGTCCCAGAGGAACGGGAGGCAGGATGGCTCGAGCTCAGGCTGTCGGTGCCCGATAGTGAAGAGCTGTAAGATCTCTTGAGGCCCCACTCAACTGGGATAGTCTGTGATCTGGGCTTTCTCAGGACACTAAACAAGTAGAAAAGTAGATAAGGAGGAAAGCTGCTAAAGGTTTCTGGATTGATGCCTAGGAACTGAATTTATTTTGCACATTGATGCTCACCTGCACTGAGCTAATGGTCTTCATATTGGTCTGACTGTGCCGTAGGGATGATCAACATTTTACATGGAATGGGTTTAAGGCTCCTCGCTTTGGGACATCATACACCTTTCATGGTGAGAGGTATTTCTTTTGTTTAAAAATACATGCTCCACTTTAAGAATACAGACAAATACCCCCGCTAGTGCACTAACCTGGCCTGTGTGTGCTTGCTTGATTTCAGCACCTGGGAATGGCGCATAACTATAGGAACAGCAGCCAGGCCATCCAAGCGGTCCGTGATGCCGGCTATGAAATATCTCTGGGGCTAATGCCCAAGTCGATAGGGCCCTTAACATTTGTGTTCACAGGGACTGGTAATGTATCGAAGGTAAATTCCTCCTGTTTCCTTCTGCGAAACAATCTGAAAGTCCGACAATATGGGCATTTTGTAGATATTTCAAATAGAATGAATGAACATTCTAGTTTGGGCACTTTATGTATTTTTTTATAGTAGAAAGCAATAAAGGTCTAAACACTTTCTTGCTTTGAGTTGATTCCAAAGCTATTGAGTCTTAAAGCTCCTTCTTGTCTACCTCCCTCCCTCTCTCCCTCCTTCCATCTCTCTCTTCTTTCTTCCTTCCTTTTTTTCTATTCATTTTGAAGGTGTAAAGCTGTGTTCTTAGGATGTTCTTTTGTTTCCTTCTTCACTTTGATGTCCAGAAGTTTGGAAGTGACTATTGCACGAGTGCCAATGACATATTAGGGAGATTAACACAGGACTGGAACTAATACTTGCTGGGGTGGTTTTGAGAATGCTTTTGTAATCTACCAGATATACTTTAAATTGAAAAATAGATGCTCAAGAAAAATATTTTTCAACTAGGACATCTCTGTTACTGTTGTATTATGAGGTAGGCATCTGAATTTTTCTTCTGTAGGAAACAATTTTTTCAGTTGAAATTATTTCTCTAATGGACCAAAAAGTAAATAGAAATATATTGCTGCTATTCTACCTTGTTAATGTAAAAAAAAAAAAAAAAGTCAGGGGGAACTACCTGCTCGGGCCCCCCTCCTGTCCCTCTCTTGGACAGGAGCTTTCTTTCTCTCAATAAATATATTCTGCTCATAAAAAAAAAGTCAGTCTTGCTTCTTCTGCATGTCTTCAGACTAGAATCAAAGCTGGTCTGCAGGCTGTGTGCAGGAAATCACCTACACTTCTGGTTGCAGTCTCGGCCAGAGGATAGAGGAAGTGGAATTTTATAATTGTGGTGAAAATAACTGAAATCTTTACAGGAAGCTGTGTTGGCTCTTTTCCTATTGATTTTTTTTTTTTTTTTTTTTTGGAACTGGGGATTGAACTCAGGCTCTTGCATTTGCCAGGCAAGTGCTTATTCTACTGAGCCATCTCCCCAGCCCTCCTATTGACTTTTAGATTTTTACTTGTCAATTATTTGCAGGGAGCCCAAGAAGTCTTTAACCAACTGCCCTGTGAATATGTGGAGCCCCATGAATTAAAAGAAGTTTCCCAAACTGGAGGTAAGAGTGGACAAGATCGTATCTTTTCCTGTTGTGAGCAGTTTTGTTTGCTAACATTTTATTACTGTAAGTCTTTATCATTTGTCATCCACTTCACTGCTTTCCCTTTTCTCTTCAAGACCTTAGAAAAGTGTATGGGACAGTGTTAAGTCGCCACCATCATCTCGTCAGGAAAACGGATGGCGTGTTTGATCCTGTGGAGTACGACAAGTATCCAGAGCGCTACACCAGTCGCTTTAATTCTGATGTGAGTGTCACATTAAGGTTTTGAGCTGGTTACTTGTGATATGCTGTAGTTAGGCCCTTTTCAGAGAGAAACTGTGCATGTGTGCTTTAGCTTTAAGCTACTATGCTGACTTGTCTTGACATGAGGCTTAGGAGTTTTTTTTTTTTTTTTCTGGTGTGTGTAGTGGCCTTTGTTAGGGTTGTTGGTGGTTTGTGGAAATCTATTTTTGTTACCATTTATATTTCTCTTCTGCCTGTGCACAGTTGCTCTACACCATTTCCTACCAACTACTGCTTTCTGTGTACCTCTGGACTACTTAGCGCTATTGGCAAATCCTGCATATGTGAAATTGGTCTGAACATACAGTTATTCATTCTATAGCCACAAATTGCAGTCACAGTTCAGTCAATATATTAATTGGCTTTTCATTGCAATAAAAAATACATAAGACAGACTATAAAGAAAAGATGTTTATTTCAGTGACTTGGGGCTAGGAGTCCAGATAGTGAGGCTTGGATTCCGAACGAGGCGCCACCTTTAAACATCACAGCTAAATTCAGTTTCTACCCTCTAAATACTATTAATATAAGACTTGTGGAGTTAAACTTCTACAGGAGCTCAAGGTGATACTTAAACCATAGCATTTTGTCCTTCACCCATTCCTGTTCAGCACGGGGGCATTCTATCCCCAGTAATCCTGAAGTCCTGACTCAGCTAGCTTAACTCAAAAGTCCAAAGTTTCCCCTGAAACTCAAGGCAAACTCCTGCAGCTGGGAACCCCTATGCAATTAAAAACAAGTTACATATTTCCAAGATAATCGTAGGACCAGCATAGGTAGCATTCCATTCTCAAAGGGGGAAACAGGGAAGTAGAATCCAGTAATTAGCCTAAAGCAAGACCAAAACCCAGTAGGGCAGATGTGAAATCCTAAAGCTGCAAAGACAGCATGTTTGGATTGTGGAACAGTGGTTCGGCCCCTAAGACTTCAGGCAGTTCCGGCCCTCTGGCTTGGTTGATCTCTGCGGCCACCACTCTGGGCTGCACTCCTGCCTGCAGTTTTCCCCAGCTTCCGTGCCAAGCTGCCCACAGCCTTCCCCAAGGGGTGTTGTTTTACCTGTCGGGACTCCCCTTGTGTTGAGTCCTACAACTCTGCTAGGCATCAGTCCATCAGGACTCCCTGCAGGGGCTTCAACTCTGCCGGAAATGTGAGCCTGGCTTCTACGGATTTTGTTGGAAATCTAGATAGAATCCATGATGACCCAGTAATGAATGATCCATTTAAAAATATTGTATGCTTTTTCTAGTGTGCTCCTCAGAATTCTTCCAGTCTTTGCCAGGCAGCCAGTTCCAATTCTACCTAAACATTTAAGGTGTAGTTATAGTAGCAGTCCATATGACCAGTTACATTTTTTGTATTACCCAAATTTGCATTACTACCCAGTTTGCAGTGCTACAAAATACACAAGGTAACTTATCTTATAAAGAGAAAAAAATGTATTTTGCCCAGTTTTGGGTGTTTTAAGTTCAAGATGGAGTAGTCCTCATTGTTTTGGTTTCTGTCAAAGCCTGCATATAACAATAGTGGGGACACTCACACCTTAAAATGGAGAAAAGACAGCAAACAGAAGAGACTCGGGTCCTAATAGCCACTGGAAGCAGACACTCTCAGTGGCCTGAGGATGTCCCACTAACCTCCACCTTTTAAAGTTTCCTTCACTTCCAGCTAGTGTCACAAGCAGGAAATCAAGTCATGGACACATGGGCCTTGTGTGAGGGTAAGGAGATCCAACATCCAGACCACAGCAGCAGCCATCTTGAAACACACATCCTTCCCCTCATTGTACAAAAAAAAAAAAAAAAAAAAAAAAAAAAAAAGCGACTTACAGTCTGAGTCCTTCTAATGGGAATGCAATGGCCTTATTTTCTAAGAAATACAATTTATTTCTATGTCTGTGGCCATTATGCAGCAATTCTTAAAGTAAGCTAAAAACAGGAAAAAATTAAACATAAGAAAAATGAATGCATTTATTGGGAAAGCAATACTTCAGATAATTTTAAATGTGTCTGAACAATGTACAACTTTTAGACTTTGGTATGAAATTTAGCAAGTACAGCCTGGTCTAGAAAGGAACACTTACATTTAGCTTGAGAATGCTTGAGATCATTGAGGAAAAGAAATTATGAAATTAATTTTAGACTAAAAAATTTTTGATCTAGTAATTTCCATTCCTTCTCTTACCCTAAATCACAGAAGTATTGGTGATTAGATGCATTTGAAGATCTATAATGACTTAATTACCATGTATATATGCATATAACATATTTTTCCATAGAGCATACACATGTTATCTGATTTATATTCACAGCCTTCTTTTGAGCAATTGTCCCCCTCTGGCAAGTAAGAAAAGCATAGCCCAGAAAAACTGAGGTAAAATGATTTAGGTAACATAGTTTATTCCTGGTATTTAAGCTGGAAGAGTATCAATTCTAGGAAATCTGATTCTCTTCCTTTTCTTTTTCTTTGGTACAACATTAATGTATTTGTTATAAACACATGGGCCTTGTGTGAGGCCCATATTTCCCATATTTCTCTGTTACGGGGTATTCACTGAAATCTCAGTGGGTTACTTTTGGTGCAAAAGACAGCCATTGAGCTGGACAACAGAAACACTTATTAGAAGTAAAAATAATTGTTGCTTGTGGACTTCATGGATGGCTTTTGGCACACTGTAAGGAAGTCGACGTCTCTCGTTTTAATGAATGTGGAACTTGCTTTACAGATTGCACCTTATACAACCTGTTTAATTAATGGTATCTACTGGGAACAAAACACCCCTCGCCTGCTAACCCGCCACGATGCGCAAAGTCTGCTGGCTCCAGTCAAGTCCTCAGTTGCTGCTATTGAAGGCTGTCCTGAGCTACCGCACAAGTGAGCGCTGATGGCAGTTTTCAGCAGCAACACACACTGTTAGTGGCGCATGGAGTATGATGTTTCTCATGTCAGAGAACTTGATTATTAATGATGGCAGCATTTGATTCAGTTAACCCTCCATCTGTCTTGAAATCCTCTTCTGATTCCTGTGACTTCATTTGAGGCTCCAAAACAACTCCAGAGAAGTCTTTTCTTCTCCATTCTCATTTCTCTATAATTTGTTACAGTGTTTTTCTTCAGTTCGTGATTATTTATTTTCCTCTGTTTATGACTCTTCTCTCTTATTAGAACTTAGTATCCACAGAGATCCTCTTTGTCTTAGCCACAAACAACTGGTATGTTTACCAATGGAGAATAGGCAGTCGGATAATTACTATGTTGAATGAATTAATCAGTAAAGATTTGTGGAATGCTTTATGTGCGTGGTACTCTGCTGAGCTAACAGAGGTCCGTTTGCTCCTCTCAGGTGTGTAGCTGACATTGAGCTAGACCAAGGGAATTCTGGGAGCAATGATAGCATGGGAGTTTAGAAGAAAGTGGAAGGATTTACAGCTGAACATGAAGATTTTGCCTCTTGGTAAATGCAAAGCTGACAGAGATAACCTGGAAAGGTTTATTTCTTGCAACAAGTACGGCACTGGAATGATTCCTGGAGCAACGTGTATCTGAGCAAAAAAGCTTGAGCTGTATTGTTTAGTTAATAATGACAAGGAAAAAAGCCTAAATATTCAGTGCAGATGCAACTTAAAGATATTCTTTGTGACTCATTTAAATCCATAAATATAGAACTCAGGAAGGGAAGGTCCACTGTGCTAGGCAGAGTACAGGTAGGATAATTGAAGCTTTGTGTGCTATTTGGAGATGGGTAATTGAGTTACCTTTTTTTCCAGTGCTGGAGATAAAAACCAAGAGCCTCACACATGTTAAGTGAATATTCAGATACTGAGATACACTCCCTGGCCCAGATTTACTAATGATTATTGTCAATGATTTCTTAGGGAAAGCATTTTCTACTTCTGTTTCTTTTCTTCCCCTCTCCTTTCTTGCCTCCTTCCATTCCCTTTCATTACTTTCTTTTTTTCTGTGGACTCTAAAACTTATACTTGGAGAATTCTGTGTGTCTCAGAAAAGCCTGGTATTCTGAAGCATGAACTATAGGGAAGAAAGCCCAAGAGCTTGACAAGTATTTGACATCCACATTGAAAATGTTCTGAGCACTTTCATATTTATTCATTGTTAGTCTTGTTGAGAGTTTTAGAAGTCAGTCTCATCTAAGCATTGATGTTATTTCAGACTGGTGGCAATCTGTGACATTTCAGCTGACACAGGAGGGTCTATAGACTTTATGACTGAGTGCACTACAATAGAGCATCCTTTTTGTATGTATGATGCAGACCAGCATATTATTCATGACAGGTGAGTTGGTTAAACCTGTTACATGGTGATAAATGAAAAATAATAATCACTCTCTTCCTTAACCTTGAGATATCTGTAAAAGGTATCTCACTGTTTTACTTCTTTATGAAAGTATGCAAATTTGAATAGATATGTTCAAACATTAAAAACGTTATTAGGAAGATCACATACAAATTTGAACACATTAATACATATATTTGTATATAATTGTTGGATGACTTACTGTATAAGGAAAGTTTTGTTTGAGAAGTTTTGTTTATTGTCTTATACAGTATACCTTTGTACAAAATTACAAATAACAAAGAAGCGAATGTAACAGAGTAGACATAAGGAAAAGTTAGACCTTACAGTAATATTTTATGCGTCTGACCAAAGCATATTACTTCTCCTAGTGTTGAAGGCTCTGGGATTCTGATGTGTTCCATTGACAATTTGCCAGCACAGCTTCCAATTGAAGCTACAGAATACTTTGGAGATATGCTGTATCCTTATGTCGAGGAAATGGTAAGCAGACTGGTAATGTCAGCAACAACTCTATGGCTTTAAATAGAATTACAGAGTGATCTTCTGAATGTTTTGGTCTTTAGTATGAAGAAATCTGTTGTAAAATGAAACACCAGCCCTTCTGCAAAGTATCTGCTGATACCCTTTTACTCTACATAGGCTGCTAACTTGTCTCATGGGGAATAAGATCAGATTACTGCCCCAAGCTTATCTGCGAGTGCATTCATTTCTTAGTGTATCTATTTTCTCGGAGTGTTCATGCATGAGATAAGCTTTGCTTTGTTTTCAGTTTTCTTGCTGTCCAAGTAAATTCATATGATTCATATGGGAATATTCTTCCTGTCCGATAATGAATAGATTTATTTTTTATCATGGCTAATTGGAATTCTCTGTGTCTCTCTTAACTGTCAAATTCTTTTTTCCTAACAGGATAAATTCCAGGCTTTTATAGGTAAATGGCTGCAACTGGAGGCCATACTCATAAATGAAATAAATCAGACGCAAATGTGTAAACATTGTACTGGCTCCCTAGTGTGAGAAGCTGAAAGGGTACATAAGATCCAAAATGTATGCTAGATATTGCAAAATGGGAAGAAACTTCAAAAGGATATAGAAACTGGGTTGTAGGAATGGAGAAGAAATGAAAGCAAAAAGCAAAAGGAAAAAAAATATATATATAGTTAAGATAGTTACACTACTAACTTCTCTTAGCTTTTTTAAAAGATAGGTTTGTGCTAATATTGTTTGGACAATTAAATGCTGATGTCTTGTACTATGAGTAACTAAGGATGACAATAGGCAGCTTATTAGACATTGGTACCCTCTTATCATCATTTTGGAATTTTGTGGTTCTTATTTTTTTCTTTGAAATTAAAAAAAACGAAACGAGGTGAGTGCTGTGGATCGTGCGTAACAGTCGAGTTCTGGCATAAGAGCTGCTTGAAGCCAGGCCCTCCAGTCTCACCACAGCTGATCGGATGGATTCGGAGTGATTTTTGAGGGGGCTGAATGTGAAGCGTGAATATCGCAGGCATAGCAGTGATTCCCATCCCAGGAGGGCGGGGCAGGGCAGTGCAAATTCTATCCTGCTACTCGAAATGGCATGCTATGTGAAACTGAAAAATTGCTTACTTCAGACATTTTCATGTAATATTTTCCAATCGTGGCTGCCTCTAGGTGGATGAAACTGTGGAAAGCAAAGCGACAAGCAAGAGATATTCCCATGTATTATCTTCCTTAATTCTTGGTTAGTTTGGGATTGAACTTTGTTGACTATATCTTCCATTGAGAATGGGACCTACTTTTTGAGTTTTCATAACTTGAGCAATTTGGTTTACATTCTCAATGATGTGACCACTATGCTCTGAAGATGCTGTGTTGTCATTTTCCTGTTGTGGTTTGTGCCTAGATGTCCCCCCAAGCCTCATGCAGTCATGGGGCAGCTTCTAAAGTTTGTGATGAATTCATGATCTGGTGCTGTGATTATGGGGGTGAGTGCTACATCCACGCGGGGCAGGTAGCCTGAATATAATATAAGGAAGGGAGAGAGGCCTGCTAGCTGCCGCAGCAGCTGCTCTCTTTGCTCTTTGCTGTTTTCTGCCACCATGAACAGCTGCCCTCTGCCTTGTGCCACTTGGTCTTGGAGCCAGCTGAGTATGGACTGAAACCTCCACAAACTATGAGCTAAATCAATCTTTCCTTCTTTAATTTTGGATGTCAGTTATTTTGTCCCATAATAAGAGGAAATAACTGAGACAGTGGCATTTCTTATTTTAGCAAGTAATTAACTTGGTTATAATCAAACTTAAAATTCTGTTTCCTTTTAATGGGAGAGCTCCTAAAAAAAAACTCAGTTTCTTTTGTTGTTTTTTAATTTTTATTTTTGTTTGTGTTTTAAAATCTTTGCTTCAGGGCCAGGGAGATGGCTCGGTAGGATAAGCACTTGACTGGCAAACACAAGGACCTGAGTTCAATCCCTGGTTCCGCAAAAAAAAAAAAAAAAAAATGGACATTCATAAAATCTTTGCTTCAGCTGCTTATACTCCTGTCTGTACACACTAAATTTGAACATCATCCAGAGACTCTGGTCAACGTGTACCTAAAAGTGGGACCTTCCTTCTTCTGAATCTACTCTTTTTGGCATTTTTCTCTCTCCCTCTAGATTTCGGGACTGCTCTGGGCCCATTTTTTTCTTCTTTTTAAGATCAGAAAATCAGTGAACTTTTACCACATTGTTACCACATCTTACACCGTATGACTTGTACTCAACACAGTAACAGAAGAATTGGTGAAAACTCACCACCTGCTGGGGGATCCCTCCAGGGTTTGACAGTCCTCCCCAGAATGTTCACTGTTGGTTCTCAGAAGCCTGCCTGCACTTTGTCTGGCTGTCTGGCTGTCTCTGTCAGAATAAAAATAATAGAAAAAACATTAGAAATAATACCACATTTGAAAAAACAAGATGATAGGAATTCCACAGTGGTTGCTACATTAAAGGGCAGAGTTCCCTGCTTGTAAGCGGATTAACTGAACTTGAGTCTACTAGAGTTTTGGAGGAGCTAGAAGAACTATTGGTGAATCCCTGGCCACAGGCCACCTTTTACAATGCTAAACTTAAGCATTTTGGCAAATTTCCGACCTTATTAGGCCAGGTTATAATAAATGTTGCACACTGATTTGTCTTGTGAATAAATTTGACTGCTAATTTCTTGAAATATCTTTTTGTTTAATTGTTCTAACATCATTTTTCATTCAATGAAGTTAGTAGAAGGGAATTTAAACTCACACTTTATTATGTTACAGAACTTCAACTGTAAGTTTATTTCTTTTGGGCCTGAGAACACATTTTTTCATTACAGTTTGTACTTAATAAAAGTTTATCATTCTCCCAGTACAGATTATCTCATATGGATGATATGTGAAAAAACAGTTCAACAAATTTGCACTAAAGTGCTATTGAGAATTGGTTCATGCAACTCATAAGCATATGTGCATTCATGCCATTTTTATTAAAGATTAAAATACTAACATAATTTTTACATTATGCAAAGTATAAATGTAAATTGCTAGTTTACCAGAGATAAGTGACACAAAATGCAGCATGCAGCTTGTCACAAAGATGCTCAGGGGAACACTGCGTTGTTCAAAAGCAGAATGATGTTAGGATCCCAGCAGTTCCTTCTTTCCTTTCCTCTTTGTCTGCTCTTCCAAAAAATATCCAGTATCCTGATTTCCAACTATGGAATAGCTTTACTGTCTTTTCAGAGATATGTAGATAAAATCATGCAATATATATGCTACTGGGTCTAAAATCTTTCATTCAGCGTTATCTTTATTATATTATTTACTTTACATGCCACTTATTTTCATCATTGTGGTATTCCATTGTGTGATGACAAATTTACATATCTACTCTTGTACTGGTGGACAACTGAGATTGTTCCCTAACTTGTGCTATTACAAATAATTCTATGAATATTTAAACTTGTCTTTTGGTATACACATGTTTATATTTCTTTTGTTGAGTTCATGCTTAGTATGGAGTTTCTGACTTCTGGTCCATACTCAGTTTTATTAGCTACTGCCAGAGTGCTTTCCAAAGTATTTGGACCAATGCCATCAGCCTTGTATGAGAGTCCCAGGGGTCCACATCCTCAACAATACTGTGCATTGTGAATTGTTTAATTTAGATGTATCTCGCAGAGGTTGCTATAGGTATTTCTCTGGTGACAGACAGGATAAGGACATTTTTCTTGTATTTATTAGTCATTTAATGATCTCTTTTTTAGAACACCAATTCAGATCTTTTGCCCATTTTCTTGTTTTGATTCTCTTTTGAAATGGGGTCTTGCCATATTTTCAGATTAGCTTTGAACTTAAGATCTTCCCTTGGCCTCTTGAGTAGCTGGGATTATATCTATGTGCCACTATACCAGGGCTGGCTTCTTTCTTTTTTCTCTTTTTGATGTTCACCAATTTGTAATATATCTTTTTAGTTGTATGTTTTGTAACCATCATTTTCTTCTATTTCACTCCAATTAATTTCAAACTCAAAATAACTTGTTTTAGGAAATGAATGAAGTATTTCAATATTTGAGTTTTTTGTTTTGTTTTTTCCTTCTTGTACAAGAAAGGAAGATTCTAAAAGTGAAGCATCTTTTTTTTCTTTTTTTTTAGAGTATTTTATTTTTTTCTGTTTTATTTTTTTT